AGCCCAAGGTCCAACTCACACTCCAAAGGCCCAATAATTAACTAATGGACTAAAGCTCAACATATGGCCCAATTTTCCAAATTAGGCCCAAACCCCTACAAGGTTTTTCCAAAAGGCCCATCCAATTATTCTAGTCCAAACTCTTGGTATTCCCATGGCCCAATATCACATAATCATAAAGGCCCAATTATGGCCCATCTATGACCCAATTTTTCCAAATTCGATCCAAGACTCTCACATGGGCCTTATCCTAAAACCCATACAATTATTTAGTCCAGTTACTTATTCTTAGAAAGCCCATTAATAATCCAATCACCAAAGTCCAATAGAAAGGCCCAACTCAAGGCCCAAGTGAAATTAGGGTTCCCACATGAAATGACGATTAGGGTTAAGTGTTTCTTACTTAACCCATAAAGGACTTAATCCCTTAAGTCAAATATTGCCTTAGGTTAGTTTACCAATAATTATTAATTAATATTTTAAGTTTATTAATTAATTCTCATGCGGTCCCGATCAATCCCTAAAATTAGGGTTTCATGACATTAGGGTTTTGCAAACCCCAATTAAGGTTTCCAACCCAATAGTAGCCCAATAGGGTTTCACTAGTCGGACACCACCCATTACCACCTCGGGTAGTGGTGGTCAATGGTGGTTCACGGTGGTGGTTATGATTCTTTTCATTATTCTTTTTGCTAATTACAATTACAATGCTTTAATCCAAAACTAAACACACACACACACACACTAACTAGCATAACACACATACACAACCACCCTTGTTGTGGACGGCGATGACACATGGTGGCGGTGGCTCTCTTGGTTTTCCGGCTAGACAAAACACACACAACACACACTAACAATGGAAATACAACCACACACACACACACACTTCTATTTGCAAGATGGACACAACCACCCACATGGTGGTGCACGGCGGTGGTGATTGGACTAGATGGCGACAACAAAAGTAGTTAACGGTGGTTTTTACGATGATAACCACCACCTCACAGTGGTGGTAGCGTTTCCTCTTGATTTTCTGGCCGAGACTCACTTACACAACGAACAACAAATCTCACAATTCACACATACTCGCGACCCAGCAACTGAAAATCAAACTGCAACCTCCTTCGGGGTAGTAGATGTTGACCGGAGCAATGAAACGAAGGTTCTGTGAGTGGCGACGTCCGACAACTCTAGCAACACCGACGACATGGCTGAAAACGAAACAGAATAGGGGAAGAGAGGGAATGTCCGAGAGCGACAGCGCTTCTGGCGTTTCCACGATTCCAACAACGGCATCAGCTCTTCCACGATGCTCATTCGACTGACCATGTGGTTCTTCCCCCTCTACATGCTACGTACGACGATTGGCTTCACCAGTTTCTATCTACATGGTTGCTATGCGGCTACGGAGGAAGGATGGGGCATAAGGTGGCGGAGCCGAAGGGAGTGGGAGGTGAAGGTGACAGCTGGGGTTATGCATTAGGGTTAGGGTTTACATGTTTTAAATACCCGGTGCCTCTCCAAACTTATTTCCATAATAACAGAATCAGCCCCTCCTTCCCTATTTTCTTTCAAAATGAGACCATAAGTTACCCTTTTAACCCCAACCATCTAAAATCTCTTCAAATGAAGTCCAACATTTTACCAAATAGCCCCTCCATCTACAATTATTTTCAAATGAAGTCCAGAATTTACTCCTTAGCCCTACTTCCATAAATCTTTTCATAATAAGTCCCAATACTTACCAAACACCCCATGTCTTCTAAAAATCTTTACTAAATTACACTTTAAACCCCCGACTTCTAAAACTGTGACAGTTAACTCCTCGAGACCAACCCTTGATATATAATTATTGATTTTAGCACTAGTATACATTCATTAATTTATTTATTTATTAAATAAACGAGGTGTTATAGATGGACGCCCACCTGTAGGTGGTAGGGTAGAGTGGGTGGTGCCGCTCAGATTGCAGTCAATCTATTATTGTCTCGACTCCGAAACAACCCATACACCTAAAAGGGCGAAGACCTTCCTCACATTGCTCACCATCCCCGATATGCCTTCTCAAGATAAATGCATACTATATGGATAATTCCTATTTTTTATAACATTTCTCTAAAGGGATTTAAAAAGTCTATAATTGGAAATAAATTTTAATTTATGGTTCATATTTATTAAATTATCATTTTAGGACGTATACTTCAGAAATAATAATGATAATATCATATATTAATTGTTGATGTAACAAATATAAAAATTAAATAGATGTGTAAAATTAAAGTACATGTTCTAATTTTGTTGATTTTACTTAAGGGTTAATAATAAAAGAAACAATTATATTTTATCATTTTTTCTGATTTAACCATCTAATTTTTATGTGCTAAAAAACTATCCAATTTTAGGTAAATGTTTTATTACCACCTTTCTAACCTGCATTTGTGCTGAAAAAACCATAAAATTTCATTTTGTGCTAAAATAACTAATCAATTTATAAATTGATGATTAAACCGAACTTTAGGAAAATAATGTTTTACTATAAAATTATGGTTTTTTCAAAGTTTATTAAAAATTGATGGCTAAACTGAAATTTTGAAAATATAGTTTTTTTTTACCCTATTTTACTAATGCAAATAATACATATGATTATTTCGGCATAACTAAAAATAAGAAGGGGCAAGAAAGTAATTTGGCTTCTGAAAGGAGCATAGTCGCATACATTTGGTTACAGATCCCATATGTAAGACCTCACTTAAGCGTCGAAGTACTTTTATTTCCAGATCCCCTCTTCGTCAAACAAACCCTTCGTCCATAAAAACCCTAGCCTGCTCAAACGCACATTAATGGCTTCTACCATACCCTCAGTCAATGGCACCGTCACTGGAGCGTCAAAATCAGAGACGGAATCTGCCACCACCATCGTAGAAGCGGCTCTGGGAACCGACACGGAGCCGGCAGATAAAAATCCCCTGGCTACTGATTCGGCTTTAGCTGAGGAGAAGAAGTGGCCTGGATGGCCTGGGGACTGCGTTTTTCGGCTCATTGTGCCGGTGCTCAAGGTTGGGAGTATAATTGGACGGAAAGGAGATATAATCAAAAAGATGTGCGAAGACACCAAAGCTCGAATTCGCGTACTCGACGCCCCTGTTGGTACCCCTGATCGCATTGTAAGTTGTTTCCAAATTCTTCTCTTCAGTTTCAACCTGTAAATCTCGAATCTTTTCATTTAATTCAAGCGTTCTTTCACCTTTATAAAATTCGAGAAGCCCTACACTAATTTAGGGTTCATAATTACGCAAGTTTTACTTTCTGTATGCGAGATATAAACGTAGTTAGCCGTAATACTTGTGGTTACCTCATCAGGTCTTAATCTCTGGCAAAGAAGAAACAGAGGCACCTCTCTCACCTGCCATGGATGCTGTAATAAGAGTATTTAAACGAATCAACGGATTTCCAGAGAACGAAGGTGAAAGTATAGCATCCGTACCATTTTGTTCAATCCGATTATTGGTTCCATCAATGCAAGCCATCAGTCTGATCGGAAAGCAAGGATCATCAATCAAGTCAATCCAGGAGAGCAGTGGTTGTCAAGTGCGTGTGCTCTCTGGTGGTATGAATAATGAATGAATTCACTCTTTCAAATTCGCAACTCAACGAAATTCAATCTTTTTCATTTCTGAAAAAAAAATGTTCTTTTGCCAGATGAAGTGTCAGCTATATCTGCGAATTCAGAAGAGAGGATCGTGGATATTCAGGGAGAAGCTGTAAAAGTCCTGAAAGCTTTAGAAGCTGTGGTGGGACATTTAAGGAGGTTTTTGGTAGATCGTAGTGTTCTTCCTTTGTTTGAGAAGACTGTAAGTGAGATCACCATTTGACTTACCTATATCTTGAAACTATAACAGCATTGTTTATGTGAATAATGGAGACTTTTACAGAATAATGTAGCAGCAGTGACACAAGAAAGCCAACAAGTGGAAACATGGGCTGAGAAGCCCATGATGCAAACTACTGGAATTGGTAGTGATTTTTCTCTTCCAATGAGGAGAGAGACTCTGTTTCTTGATCGTGAACCCCAAAGAGAATCACATCTTTCTTCCCATGGGCTTTCCTTGTATGGACGTGACCCTGGCCTACCTTCAACACATTCTCCTGCAATTGCTCGAACTGGTGGCCCTATTGTAACTCAGGTCAGCAATCATCTCTTCAAGAAATTAGGGTTCCTTCTTCTCTTTTTTTCTACATTAATAAGGTTATGTAAATCACTAAATCAGATAGCTCAAACAATGCAAATACCATTAGCTTATGCTGAAGATATTATTGGAGTTGGGGGAACAAATATTGCATATATTCGTAGGACAAGTGGTGCCATTCTTACTGTGCAAGAGAGTAGAGGTTTACCCGATGAAATTACAGTCGAAATAAAAGGGACATCATCTCAAGTTCAGACAGCTCAGCAGCTCATTCAGGTTTCCTTTCTATAAATCATAATATATATGTATATCAGTATATGTAGAAATATGCGTGTTTGTGTGTATTATGGCAAGTTGGGTAGAATGGATTAATGGAATGAGTCATCTTTTTTTTTTTTTTTTTCAGGAATGTGTGAATGGGCATAAGGAATCAATTCCAAGCATCAGCAGCTTTGCAAAGTTGGAGTCAAGTTTGAGGTCTTCCTACTCACAAATTGGGAATTCATCATACCAACCACCATCAACTTATGGTATTGGTGGCCAATCATATGCTGCTGGCTACCCATCCTCCAGTTTAGGTGGAGGAGGAGGAGGATATACTAGTTACAGGCTGTGAAAAATGTAACAATACTCATACATAATTGAAGCTTTCTTTTATTCAAACCTATCTCAAATGTACTATTCTATAAAAAGCTTCAATCAACTTCATCATGTTTTATTTCTAGTAAAAAGTAAAGTGCGTTGCATATTCTTCAAACTACGAATTTGAAAAAAAAAAAAAAACAAATGGTTCGACTTGTTTGCACAATTTCAAGCCGCCTTGCATAGACCCATGGTCGCATACAACGAACCAAGCTCGCTATAAATTAATTCTTCATCAAAATGGACTCGATCACGACTCCCAAAAACATGCACCCCATCTCCAAACTCAATCCAACTACACCCTGGTGTTTTCTTCACATTTTGTTGTCTCATATTAAATCTCACATCAGACACCTCCTCATATCTACCCATTGTACCATACACATTAGACATCAAAACATAGCTCCCACAATGCTCCGGTTCAAGATTAATAACATTTCTCGCAGCAATTTCTGCAAGTTTTGCATCTCCATGGAGGTGGCATGCTGCTAGAAATGCTCGCCAGACGATTGAGTTTGGTCTGACGGGCATGGCGGATAGCAGTTCGTATGCTTGGTCGAGCAGTCCTGCTCGACCAAGCATGTCGATTACACAGGTATAGTGCTCGACTGTCGGCACTATCTTGTATTTCAGCTCCATTTGGGCGAGAAATTCTCGCCCTTGATTCAGTAGGCCTGCATGACAGCAGGCTGAAAGAACCCCGACGAATGTCACCTCGTCGGGTTTCAAATCTGTTTCACACATTTTATGAAACATGTCTAATGCCTCGTGGCCAAACCCGTGCATTGCATAACTATTGATTATGATGTTCCAAGAAGCCGAATCTTTACCATCCATGTGGTTGAAAATCATTTGGGCTTCTTCCATACTTCCACATTTTCCATACATGTCCATGAGGGCGTTGTTGATGCGAGTATCATCTTCTTTCCCTGAATTCTTTGTTATCATGTACCCATGAATCTGCTTACCATGTCTTAATGCTGCTAAATGAGAGCATGCAGGGAGGACAGTTGTGAAAGTGACTAAATCAGGACAAAAAAGTACGATCGTGTAACATTCGCCTGAAAAGATTTAGTGTTTCTTCATGATCACTGGATTGTTGATGAACACCGATTATTGAATTCCATGAATATATATCTTTAATCTCCATTCCTTCAAAGATATCAAGAGCATCGAGAAAGGATTTGCATTTTCCATACATGTCGATTAGGGCATTACAAACTGCAATGCCTGAAGAGTAACCCATCTTGGTTGCAAATCCATGGATGGACTTCCCATTGTCAAGGTCCCCCTTTCATTGTGAGCACCGATAATATCCCAGTTACAGTGAAACTACTAGGTACATTCCCTCCTGTGCGAAGTCTATGTAAACACTCCAATGCGCTATTGTATTCACCAATTTGTGCGTACCTATTAATCATGGCGTTCCATAGGACAACATCTCTGTCAGGCATTTCATCGAACACTTTGTGTGCATCCTCCATTAACCCAAGTTTAAAGTACACATCGACTACAGCACTGCCCACAAACAGATCATGATCCACCCCGAATTTAAAGACCAACCCGTGAGCAATCTTCAAACCAGCAACATCGCCACAACTCGATAATGCCTTGACCACACAAGGGAACGTGTATTTATCCATCGAAACACCTGCCACTCGCATTTTTTTATAAACCTGTAACGCGGGTTCTGGCATCTCATTGTGGATAAATCCGGCAATGATTGCGTTGTAAGCAAAAACGTTGAGTTGGGAGTTAGACGAGGAAGTAAAAACCAGAAAGGCATCTGAGATGGAGTTGCATTTGGAGTACATGTTGATGAGGCTGGTGATAGCGCGTGGGGAGCTGAGGAAGCCATTGATGAGCATGTAGGAATGGAGTTTCTTTCCTTCCTGTAAGTTGGTCTGATCGGCACATGATTGGAGGGATGTAATGCATGATGTGATGTTTGGGATTGGGGGGAGGGATGAAAATTTGGGAAGGAAATTGGTCAGTCCAGTTTTGAGGATCGTTTTGGACATTTAAAATCTACACGCAATTGAGCTTGATTTCATCCGTGAGATCTTAAATTGGCGTTAAGGAATGGGCAATTATTTTTATCCATCTACAGTTAATTGAAAAAATTGCCCCTGATGACTTCATTGTTAGTCATCCTTGTTCCATTGAAAAAGACGATGACGGTGAATATGATGATAAAAATCGCCGACGATGCACACAAACAAACCCGGGAAAGCTCCTTCGCCTTCAACCCTTGTCTTTTATCTATTTTGGGCTTTTGTTGTGGTGGTGTTGTTCAGAGATTTCGTCGGAGCTGATTAGCGAAGATGCTTTAGAGATTTATAATGGTGGCGTTGGTGTGAGATTTTAACCAAATAACCTTTTACTCCATAAACACCATTGATGACATCACTTGTAGGTAGGTAGGTGCAGGGGGAGTGAGTTAAATGGAAGAACTGATTTACAAAACAATAAAAAAGTTTCAAAGGGTTATTTTACAAAGTTTCAAATTGATTAATGTATTTTCTGCAAACAAACCCCAAGAAGGAAGAAGGAGCCTCCTGTGTTTGGAAATAAATGTTTGGGTTTTTCTCTCTTTTGTAAATCTAAAAAGGGGCATAATTGTAAAATTCAGTGGATAGATAAAAAAGAACCGTGTCAGAGACCTTAAGGAATGCCGGCAACTTCTTGCTCGTGCTTCCGAGGTTTACTAAAATTAAGTTTTTCTCTTTATTTTGCATAGATTGACCGACCCTCTTCCAAGAAAAATATTCATGGTTTTGATTTAAACATAAATACTCAGATTACTTGTAGCGTTCATTAAATTTTCCGAAATATAATACGAGTCCTTTTCTACCTCAAGCTTGAAGCATAAACTTGTTTTTGTAAAATGACAAAAAAGAGGGTGGGCTTGAGAAAAATGATCAAAATTTTTTGTTTTTTTGAAAAATGATCATGACATCAGCAGAGAGGAGCTCTACGAAAATTCTTATCTTTTAAGGAATAGATTTTGCTATGAGAACATGACATGTAATGGGAAAAAGACAAAAAAGTTTCATGGTTCCGCAGAGATGCTCTCTGCGGATCTATTCTTCAGAGGTACTCCTCTGAGGAAATGTTATTCATAAATTTTTTTGTGAAGAACATTTCCTCGGACTTTGAAGAACGGATCCGCAGAGAGCATCTCTACGGAACCAATGCACTCTCCACGGAACCATAAATTTTTTTGTCTTTTTTTTCCATGGCACGTCATTTCCTCAGAGCAAAATCCATTTCTCAGAAGATAAGAACTTCCACAGAGCTGCTCTCTGCGGAAGTCAATGTCATTTTTCGAAAAACAAAAATTTTTGATCATTTTTCTCATACTCTTTATTCTTTTTGGTTATTTCACAAATTTTCTCTTTTTTAAACGGTGAGTTACAGTTTTATTTAAAAGTTCAAACCCATAAAATATTTATTGATTTTATAAGAGAAGGGGCGAACTTCATTGAATAACATATACAATATAGAAAGACTTACTATAACACTCCCAATTTCTACCTTTTAGCAATCTATGAATTGCTAATAAACAGTCGCTAACATAAAATAACTAGTGTTATACCTGTCCGATAGACGGTTAACCGATATAATAAAAAAAGATTGATTTTATTTTCTTCTTGTATAACATCGTACTTTTATTTGTTCCAAGTATAGCATTGTACTATTAAATTTATTATTTTTTGTACTTATATCGTCTGGTGGTCGGGTTGATCGATGTAAAAACTATAAATCGATTTTACTTTATTTTATAGTATCATACTTTCTGGTGGACGGTTAATACTTTGTTCCATATCATCATTATGTAAATTGTTACCATGCATTGTACAATGACAAATTTACCCATAGAAACAACATATGATTGAAAAAAAAAACATTAAAAGACAATAAAATAAAAATAATAGCAATTGACAAAAACACAATTAAATAAAATTAAATTAAAAACAGAAAAAATTAAAAAGATAAAAAGATAAAACCTCTAAGGGTGTGATATTAAATGATTTTATAAATCAGTTAGAAACACCATTAAAAGATAAATGTAACTTTAGATGAGAAACATAAATATACCACCTACTATGTAGTAAAGTAAAGTTAATCGAATTTAATTCAAACTTTGTTTTTGTTATAAATATTTCGGGTTCAAGTTCAAGATATATGTGATATATGATGTATTAATTTAAACCATGAGATAAAATCAACCTAAATAAATTTACTTTGAACTTCGTTTGACAAAAGTTATAACTTTTTTTTTTTTTTTAATTTACAAATTATTAGCAATTATCACAAAATTGATATAAAAAAGGGAATATCATTGTAAAGCATGAAATTAACATAAAAACAAAAACAAATATTATAAGAAACTTATAAATTTCTAATTGATAAGTAGAAGTATTTGTTCCAAACTCCTTATAATAAGGAGTGCATGTTGGCCTAAGGCCCAACCCTCCCTTCTTCTTCTTCCGAGTTTCTTATCCCCCTTTTTGCTGATGTGGAGTTTCGGAAATAGTTGCACGACTAAAAAGATATACTTTCTCATGGCAAAAACAAAAATCCAAAAAACATGAGTAAAAGATTCATTAAGAAGTTTAAATTACATATACACTTGGCCACTTGGGAGTTATAACTTTAATTAATCACAGTTATGAAAATAAACATAATCATGAATCAAAAGCAATTCACCTTATTGATAGTGATCTACAGGAGAGGTCCCTTTCCTTTAAAGTCACATTTTTTCTACATAAAGATGATTTATATACACGATTATGTCGGTTATACCTAAGGGTATGTATATGAAATCTAAAAATGTGTTTTCTTCGGTTATTTACCAAATCAAAAAAAAAAAAAAAACCTATTCCACAAATTAGAATGTTAGTGACCTCATTAGAGACCCAACCTCATTTTTCATAAATCATATCTTAAAAGGGAGAAGCAAAATGAAAATAAAAAAGTACAGAAAGTTTCCACTAATCCTATGGCCCACACCATCTTGGAAGTCAAGAAAATTATCCTAGTATAGATATCTCACAACCAAGGGAGATAGATACCACAATGTAAATTAAACTCTAACTTATTGTTCACATTCATACTCACTAAAAGAAGCATTTTGATAAATTGATACACAAATAAATAGTTGAATCATAAACAGAAAGAGAGAGAGTGACATACCTGTTTACACAATCAACAGATTTACAACTGGTTAATTCATACGCGTATATAGAACCCTGCAAAGAATGTGCATTACGGTTGCACAAATGAAAATAAGTGAAATTAAAAATAGTTCTTGCAAATGTACTAATATGTATAAAGCTTAGGTATCAAAACTTTCACAACCAATAAAAAGCTTTGTACCAAAACTTATGATTTGTTTTGGAATGATACATTGAATTCAATCATAACTTTATTTTGCATCATGATCAAACAAGTCATATTTTTCAAATAAATGCTAAAGGAAGAGATACCATACAGTTACCGATTGGAAGACCATTTAATCACAAAGCCAAGAAAATAAAGGCGAGTACTTTAGCATAGTAATGTACAAATTTATTATTTGCAAAATGGTATACTTTAGAAGATTATTGTTTTTGTTAATGAATAGTGATTGGTAATAGAAGATACTTAGGATACAAGCAGTACAAAGAATTGTCATTTGTGTTGGATGTAGGGGAATTCAGTAGGGGCATATTTGTCCATCAATCCAAACCTTGTGCAAATTATAGAAAAGACAAACCTGCAAAATTGGTCCATGTGGTATTCAAAAATCTTTGGATAGGGTCCAAAAAGTTTCCAACTTGCATGGAAGGTTCAAAATCAAAACGTTTCCGTGATTTAGGTCCAAAAAAACTTGAAAAGATGATTATGCCCTTTTATTTTATTTTTTGCATTTTTTATAATTATTTTAATATTGTTTTAACTAAAAAAATAAAGAAAATCTCTCTCTCTCTCTCTCTCTCTCTCTCTCTCTCTCTCTCTCTCTCTCTCTCTCTCTCTCTCTCAATCAACAAATTCAAATCTATAACTCTCTCTTTCGAGCTATTTGATATATCACAACTTTGTACAATTGGGATGGATCGATCTGTACATTCTAATCTAGCCTACCTCTCCTTACAAGTAATGCTTATAATTTCAGGTCTCTTTCTCTCACAGTTGCTGTTGCAGGTTAGAATCCAAAAGAAAAAAAAAAATGATATGCTCAGCTCTTACTCTGAATCTGATTTTACAGGTTTGAGTGTAAAGAAAACGAGAAAAGTGGTCTTCTTCTTCCTCTCTGCATGATTTATGTATTGCAGTTGCCAGTGGGTACGGTAAAGAAAACGAGAACAATGATATACTTACCCCACCACAAATCTTCATCTTCGCCCGTCTCTGCCTCCACTTCCACCTTCGCCTTCGTCGATTTCTTCTTCTCCACCTTCGCCGACCTCTTCTCTTCTCCGCCACAGATCGATAGAGTTGTGTTGGCTGAGTTGATTCATCGCCTTGGTTTTTACTGATGAAGTTGAATCCCAAATAAAATCCAGAAGTTGAAGTAAAATCATAAAATGGTTGTCAATTTAATCACTGAAGATGGAGCTAGGGAAGCTGCGATGTCGTCGATTTAATGGTGGCGGTGGAGGAAATCAGTGAATTAGGGTTTGGGTTTGTGATGTGGACATAGACGAAAGCTGTGAGAGAAGAATCAGATAGTGATAATGAAATTTGTCATGGTGTATGACTCTAACCATGTGATTCATCAAGTGTTCTTGAAAGATAATGAAACCTAACAAAAACAACTCAGTAGTTCATGAACAAGATGAAGTTCAGGAGTTGTCACTGAGAGAGAGAGAGAGAGAGAGAGAGAGAGAGAGAGAGAGAGAGAGAGAGAGAGAGAGAGAGAGAGAGAGAGAGAGAGAGAGAACGGGGTGGGTAGGATGAGGGATATATTTTTTTTCTTTTTTCTTTATTTTTAATTAAAATGGGACTAAAATAATTATAAAAAATACAAAAAAGAAAATAAAAGGGCATAATCGTCTTTTCAAGTTTTTTGGACCTAAATCACGGATACGTTTTGATTTTGGACCTTCCATGCAAGTTTGAAACTTTTTGGACCCTATCCAAAGATTTTTGAATACCACAGGGACCAATTTTGCAGTTTTATGAAATAATAATGTTAATGTCTAAACCAATTTAAAAGGGAAAACAAAGATAAGTGGATCATGTACACAATTCTATGATTCTTTCTTGAGAAAACCAACCAAATTCAGAATATTACTTTCTCTTAGGCATTTCTACAAACAATATTCCTTGAGCAACTTAAGAGCCTTCCACATCCTAATTTTCAGAGTCATTCCCATGAAATCCTTCCTTAGGAACCTTGTGGACTGAAGATAAATAAATCATTATTAATTTAATAATCACTAAATGTCTCTCATATATTTCTATTAAAATCAGCTCAAGCAGTTCACATAACATCCTATGAAATCACAAAATCATAATCAAAGTTTCCATAAACATTCACAACCTACAACCTACAAGCCGAAATTTAATAAAACACAACTGAAATTAGAACGGCGTACAAAAAAACACCACGATGTTTGTGCGTGGAATCCGAATAAAGAAAAGACCTAGTAACCACCAGAAGCCAGAAAAGGGTTTTTAATAAGCTCCAACAAACACCAAGAACAATAAAAAAAACTTCAATGAACATTTTCGGTACATCAAAAGAAAAAATAACCAACATGCGAGAAAAGAAAGATGAAGAAAGAATTGTAATGAAATAGTGTTCTTTAATAAGAGCATCCCTTTATTTATACACAGGGAGTTTCAAAATCAATATCAAATTTACATATAGAAACTTTACATAACCAACGTAAAAATCATAGCTTCAGGTAGCTCAATTTTTGATGGGCCTAGCAGAACGCCCAACCAAAGACACCTATCCTAAGGCCATAAATTTTGTATCTTATTATCACTAATTTAATTAAAATTCTAATAATTGAAGTTTTGAATAAAATATGATTTGTTTGCATGCTATCTGATATGGAGCTTGATGAGGTTGTAAATAAATTAAAGCCTTTTTTCAGGTATAGTATAATATATGATAAATTTTAATCTGATAAATAAGACTTGTTATATTAATTATTTGTTTTCAATCATACTTTTCGTACAATTCGTTTTAAGTTGTAGTTTTGGAATTTTGCATTTTTTTTGTTGCTCCATATAGCTTGAGATTTCCTCGTATAGATGCCATGATGTGGAATGTAAGTTGGTTAATTATTCATACAATAACACTATAATTACTTTGAATAGAAACCGAAACAATTTCTTAATAATTATTAAAAAAACATAAATATCATATAAAATCCAAATTGAACATACATCAAAATGAGCACAAATCAAAATCAAACATGAATATTTTCAAATCCTAGAAACTATATTGAAATCCAAATAAAATTCTACATGCACATCAGATTTTTAGCACATCAGCACATATGATATGAACTGTGATTTTAGAAAAAAAAAAACATCAGATCAGATTTTCATGTCCATACATTACCACATCAGATTCCAACATAAATACATCAACAAAAGGTAGTTCAGGAAAAAATGACCAAAACAACCCTCATATTGCATTTTCCATCTCTTCTCAAAGGATATGTAATCAAAATTCCTCAATTCCAAATTGAAATCATCAATCTTTATGTCAATTTAGTGTCATTCTAAATCAAAACATGCTACCTGAAAACTATTTGAAAAGGTATTTCAGGAAAAAAAAATGACCAAAACAGCCCTGATATTGCATTTTCCATCTCTGCTCAAAGGATATGTAATTAAAAATCCTCAATTCCAAATTGAAATCATCAATCTTTATGTCAATTTAGTGTCATTCTAAATCAAAATATGCTACCTGAAAACAATTTGAGTAAACTAGAACAATGGAGCAATTAGTGTGAACAACACATTTGACAATGGAGATTTCAGCAAAAAAATCACCAAATGTCAGCAACAATTACAGATTCATTATTGATTTCAGCAAGAAAACATTGATTTCACCCTGAAATCGTCGATTTCATAGTATTTGGGGAGAGAACAAAGGAAAAAAATAAAGAACGATACATACCTGAAAGCTGATGTGCGACAATGGCGTCGTAGGTGTGGGAGGCTGGCACCGGAGATATAGGAGGATGGCGCCGGAGATCCGAAGGTCAGCGATGGCATCGATTGATGGAGTTGGAGAGTATGGCGGCAAAAGATTGCAGGTAATCGGAGTGTGTTGTGATGGAAAAAGGGGTCGGCGTAGGCATGAGCAAAAGAACCGAACCGGTCGGAACCGGCCCGAACCGGACCGGAACCGGGAACCGGCTTCGGCCAAAATTAAGAACCGAACCGGCCGAGCGGTTCTACCGGTTCCGGTTCCTACCGGTTCTTGTCCTGTCTTCAAATGTTGGAACCGGTCCTTGAAAAATAGCATCATACGGTTCCGGTTTTTGCCGGTTCCGGTTATATCGGTTCCGGTTCCTACCGGTTCCCGGTTCCAAAAATCCACAAAAATAATGTCTCGGTCCCGGCCCGACCGGTTCCATCGGGTTCCGGTTCCGGCCGGTTCCCCGGTCCATATGCTCATCCCTAGGTCGGCGTAGGAGATAGAAAAGAGAAGAAGGAAGTCACGTAGGGCAAAATAGGAACGCACGCCTCTTTTTCTTTTTCAACCCATCTCTCTGAAATATGAAATATTAAGAGATACAAAATAACATGCTAACGGACTATGCCTCTTAATTTGCCAGTTAAGAGGTAAACAAACAACCCGATTGATTCATAAAAAAGGTAAACAAACAACCCGACTGATTCATAAATAATTTAATTTGCCAATTAAATTTTCCGAAATATTATGAGTCTTTTTCTACCTCAAGCTTGAAGCATAAACTTGTTTTGTAAACGGTGACATCCTACAATTCGTTCTGAGGTGTAGTTTTTGAATTTTGCATTATTTTAAACTGTAGAGATTGATTGATATGTAAAAAGATGATTTTTTTTGTTGCTCCATATAGCTTGAGATTTCCTCGTATAGATGCCTTAATGTGGAATGTAAGTTGGTTAATTATTCCTTCATTTTTTACATAATATAATTATGTACTTTGAAAAATCTACCCAATTATAACAATTTTTTCCAATATATAAAAGTATGATGTTGTTATTGTTGCAGCTTTTGTGGAATTGGTGCATTCTAGGATTCATACAACACAATGGGAAAGAAATCAACAAGAAAATAAACAGAAAATATCAAAATCAAGAGTTGGAGAGAAGAAGAAGAGTGGCTCTGTGGTTCCTTCTCATATTCTTCAAACTGATGTTTCTCAAGTTGATGATATAAATTCTAGTAGGATCGATAGATTCTAAACAGAAAATAAAACAATAATACAAAAAACACAAGTATGGCTCAAACGTTGTCGAATGATTAAAACTTTCACACCTCATAAGAGCTCGATTAAGAACTTCTACTGTGAAGGTGTTTAGGGTTACAAACGATAATAAAGATAACAGTTAAGATCATTTTTTTAATGCATACATGCATGCACTATATATACTACGTAACCCTAGTAAATCACGGATGGACAGGCCCAATCCAGTTTATACAAAATATCAGCCCATGACACGACACAATAATCCCACAATCTCACCCTTTGCGTCCATGGAGCCAAGAGCTCAGTTCGGTTGAGCTATCACCAACTTCTTCACAGTCTTGAACACACCCGGTATAATGGCCAAAAGAATTTGTCTAAAAGTAATGTACCACCAGAGCATATCTGTGAAGTTCTTCTTATCTGACTCTGAATTCGCCTTGCACCGATGAATGATGTTGATGATGTGTTCTAGGCAGTCAGTAGAGAATAAGTGTTTGTCCACAAGAGTAAACAAAAATCTTTCACCTTTGGCCCTTGTAAACATAACCGTAAGGTAAGCAGAATCGATTTGACCGAGAGTCATTTTGTTGACATCTCCTGGTTTAGCAGTAGGCTTCACCGTCGGTTTCGTCCTTAGAACATTAGCAATTTCCTGATCCATCTTTGCAACTTCATGGATATAGGATGCCAACATTCTCTTCAAATGCCCAAAATCGGCTCACACTCCTTCGCATTGGTAAGCAGGAGATTGAATAGAAGGATCCAATCATGAGGATTCAAATTGGGAAGGTCTGCCAGGGAAATAATAGAAACCGAGTTGTCTGAACCTCGACTTATTTTGAACGAGACATTAATGTATTTCCCTGCAGGAGAAGATTTCAGCACCTTGACCGTTGTAATCTTCTAGGCACTCCAGGTCAGATACTAAGGCTGACCGAACTTGAGGTAAAAATCAATCAGTTCACGGTCCACCTGAGGATGGGGTGAAGGGACTTCGACTGTCGGTTCAAAGCAATGAAAAACAAACGCCTTTCGAGTGATCGGCATGTTGAACTGTGAATGCCTTGTACTTATATTATGAAATCAAAACTGAAATATATTTTTATCTTTAACTCAAAACCACATACTTATATTTTTAAAATAAAATAGCAACATACTATTTTTCTATATAAACGTATTTTTATAATAACACATCATTTTTTTTCTTTCAAAAAAGTAAATATATTTGTATAAGATAAATGAAGATAAATCTTAAAAATTACATCATAAATATTAAAAAGTAATAATATGATGTTTTTACGCTTTAAATATTTTTAGATAAAAAATAGAAAACGAAAATATTTAATTATGTATAGTAATTAAATATTTTAGATAAAATCTTGACAATAAAAATTAATTGAATTTTTAAAAAACATATAATAACAAAGTTGTGAAAAAAGAAAGCCGAAAATATAAAAAGAAAAGTAAAAGACTAAAATTGTAATATTTCAAATGATCCTTATATAAAATTTCATAAATAGTCCTTAACCAATTTTTACAAAATAACATAAATAGTCCTTATCCAAAATTCTTTAAAATTAACAAATCCATCTAACAGATTTGCATGCAATGACCATCTCAAGATTTTTTTTTTCATAAGGATTATTTTTGAAAAAAAAATTATAAAGCTAAAGGACTATTCGTATAATTTACTCTATCTTTTAAACATAATAATTGTTTATCGGGAAATCTCCGATCAAGTCCCAATATTTTGGGTCAGTTTACGGTATAATTTCAAAATTTGTTTTTGAACAGAATAGTTTCGATTATCTAATTTTATACGATAACTTTTTATTTTTTGTTAAAAAAAATAAGGATTGTTTCGTTAAATTGGGAAAATATAAATTAATCAAACATTTTCTTGTTCAAAAATAAAAGTTGAGATTAAATCGTAAACTGATCCAAAATATTAGGATTTTATCAGATATTTTCCTTGTTTATCTTCATATATGAACAAACCACTCACCATATTATATATTTTTTTTTCTACTTTTGAATAAACCACTCACCTTGGTTAAGTATATGATATATTTTTCTATTTTTTTCAATCATAGTTCATCGCATGCCTTCTGTGTTTAAAGAAGTTTTACTTTAATATTTACCAATCTGAACCTTTGATCTTTATTCCTTTTTATATTTCTTCTTCTTTTATCCTAGGATGTTCCCAGGGAGTATGATGGTTCCCGTTTAATGTAGAATCACAAAATCTATAAGGTCGTTACCCTAATCTAAAATAAAATAAGATTTGAGATTTGTAAATTACTTCTGGTCTAAAGGTTGTTACCTAAAGCCGAATCGATTTCTTTGGTAAACGGGATTATGAGAGTGCCAATGAGTTCAGATTTTTGATTTCAAGCCTTGGAGGAATGTGGAATTTTGATTTTTGAAGCTGGTAATATTGAGACCTTTGTAGGGATGCCAATCGATTAAGTTCTATCATAGTTTTTTTATGTATGACACTATAACCGAGAAAGGAGAGCGCCTTCGGTTCCAGTTTCCCTTCTTGTTTTGTGTCTTGAGTCATCAACACACCATATGCGACAACTAAATGATTGTTTGTTTTTTGTTTGTAGATTTGCGTAACCTCTTTTGTCTGCACCCCACAGACCACACACACACATAAGGGCTTGTAGTGTGTTTGTTTTACGGAAGTCTGCATGCATAAAATCATTTGCATGAGGTCTTCATGGGACGAACTTGGACTTATGTCTGTGCATCCTTAGTAGAGTTAAATGAAAAACAAAACATGCTTTTTCAATTCTTTTTTTTTTTTTTCACATCACATCGTCAAATACTCCCTCTAACTCCAAAAACATCTTTCTTCTCCTCCATGGAACGAATCTCTTGAGCAGCCATATGTGAGCCAAAAAACGCCCGTCAATTACTATCGTCATCATCGACGTCTTCCCCGGTGTCAACAACCATCAACAACGTCTCCCCCAGTCCGCTGGACAAATTCACCATCTTCTGAGCAGGTATGAAATGTTTTCTCTGAAATTCGTTCTCTTATAGGATTAGAAATCAATTTTTTTTTTATTATTATTTTTGTGAAATTGGCTCTTTGAAATTAGTTTTTTTCTAGGGTTCTCTGAAATTTGTTATATCCTGACTTCATGTGTTCCCCAAAACCCGCAAAAATTACAAATATAATTCGGGATCACATGAAGGTTAGGATTAAAATTAGGGTTTCTTTGGGGATTTCTCTTATTCTCTAGGCAACGATTGGTTTTAAAACTAATTTCTATTATGATTTCTCTTATTCTCTTATATATGATTCCGAATTTGGCGATTTTGTATGAGTTGGAGTTTGAATTAAGTTATCAATCTCGTATTTCTGATTCCCAATTCTTATTTTTAGTATATTTTATCACTATATTGATTAAGTTGGAGGTCGATTGTTCAAGGTTGGAGACTTCGGACCTAGAGTTCGGTTCGAAATCTTCAATTAAGGAGGTATTTATTTGTTCTATTATCCTATTGTCCTATTTTTTATTCCCGTTTTGTTCGAAATATATAAGTTTTGTTCGAAATATGCATCTTTGATTTCACATTTATTCTCCTATTCTTCTGATTCCAGATTTAGGGTTTGCTTCAGGATAGGACTCTAACTTATATGAGTTTGATTATGTGCTGAAATTTTCAGTTAGAAACCAGAAAGAAGTTCTCAGTTTCGATTTCAAATTTATGATGTGTACTTTTTCAATTTCATAATTCATGTAATTATAATACTGATTAGTGGTTATGATGATAATTTCCCTTATGCTAAATTTTGAATAGTTTCATGTTTTGAAAGTTGCCAAATTGTTTGAATCCATGTGTAATTGGTATTTTGCAATTGCAAAAATTCTTGTAATTTTGAATCTGTTAGCCATGTACTCGTCTATTTTTAACCGATTCGCCAATTACTCGTATGTAATTGTGAATTAGTCCATATGAACGTTTATTTTTAATGAAGCTATTTATTTTTATTGCTCAATAATACAATGAAAATTGTTAAAATTTGTTCTTGTATGAAAATTGGTAAATTTTGTTTATTAATATGTTTCTCAAAAGTCTTTTTTGTTTTAAAAATATCAATTATCTTTTAACATCTTGTAAATTAAAAAAAAAACAAACAGTTTTTTTATTACATTCTTATTGTAGACTCAGATTTTGATTCATGATTTTTTTGGCCTCTATATAAAACATCTAAAATTTTGGGCCATATAAAGTTACGGGCCTGTTCAGCAGCACCTTTCGGCCATGAGTATAGATATAGATATGGAGACGAAGATTAAAGATGGGACATTCAAAGTTTATGTGAGACATAAATAAAAGGGAAAATGACTCTTGAGGGTAACTAACTGTTACATTTATTTTCATTTGGTCTATTTTTTTGTACTCAATATACCATCGGACTTGTTATTTGTGTTCACCATAACCCTTTTGACCGCCTTTTGTTGTTTGTGTTCACTATAACCCTTTTGACCGACTTTTGACTTGTGATAGTCGGTCAAAGGGTTATGGTAAACACAAACAACAAGTTCGATGGTATATTGAGTATAAAAAAGGAAGGGGACCAAATGAAAGCAAACTCAATAGTTAGTTACACTCCTGAATCATTTTCCCCGAAAAATTAAATGAAATTAAAGTTGTAAAATTATAAAAGACTGCAACCTTCTTTAGCCATAACGTATATAAAGAACGTTTCGAAGGGGTAACTTCGTTAAAACATGGTCTATGCTATGTTTACTGTGGTTAGCTATCAACACCTTTCTGCAAAAGGATATGACTGTGTATGAGATGTATATTTATCAGGATAAACGTTTGCCTTAAGGTATATTATGGGGATGTGTCTGTAAAAACTGCATGATATTGTACATATTGATGTTGTATCTTATCCCATGAATTCGATCTTAAAGCTAAACAAACTCAAAAATCACAGAACTTATGATTCCACTCGTTTGTAGACTTGTCTAGAATCCATGATACGATAAATCATTTGATTGGAAATTAATGTAAATGTAGTCATGAAATGCACCTGCTTAGTCAAGATTCCCCTAATAAATATTCAAGTGCATTACAAAGTTGTATATGTATGAATAATGTTCTTTTGTTGGTTATGTTTTAAAGATAAGCAATAATGAATCTCATAAAATCATTAATATCAACAGAAGATGACGTGATATTTGCTGTAAATGAGTAAAAGAAAAAATGAATCAAAAGGGTAATCAACTGTTGCATTTATTCTCATTTTGTCACTTTCCTTTTTTTTTGTACTCAATATACCATCGAACTTGTTGTTTGCGTTCATCATAACCTTTTGACCGACTATCACAGGTCAAAAGTCGGTCAAAAAGGTTATAATGAACGCAAACAACAAATTTGATGGTATATTGAATAAAAAAAAAATAAGAGACCAAATGAGAAATTGAAACAATTAGTTACCTCCATAATCATTTTCCCCGGATAAAACGAAATAAAAAACAAAACTTCTATGGGAAGTTTGCTTCAATCGATCGATCGGGTATATAAACCTCAAAATTCGAAATATTTCAGACACAAACACATTGTTTACACACACAAAACCCTTTTCGATCAAAAATGTCAGGGGAGACGAAGTTCAGCGTGATGTGCAGTCTTTTCAACTGGATTCAGAAGTCCAAATCTTCAACAAAAAAGCGATCCAAGTTTCGAAAATTCCTCGACACGTATTGTAAACCCGTCGATTACTTCGCCGCTGTGAGATTAATCCTTCCCAGTCTCGACAGAGAGCGAGGATCTTACGGTTTGAAGGAGTCGGTGCTGGCTACTTGTATCATCGATGCCCTCGGAATGTCCAGAGAATCTCCAGATGCTCTTCGCCTCATCAATTGGCGTAAAGGCGGTGCCAAAACTGGTGTTAATGCCGGCAATTTCTCACTCGTCGCTTCTGAGGTTTACTAAACTTACTGAAATTTCTTTCTTTTATTTTGCGTTGAGTTACCCTCTTCCAAGAAAAAAAAAACATGAATTTATGAACCCGGCGTTTTCTATACTAGATTGATTGTTTGCTTGTAGCATTAGTTAACAATCTTCCGAAATTTGAGTCCTTTTCTACCTCAAACTCATGAAATATTTCTACCTCAAACTCACGAAATTTGAAGGATCCTTATGTATGGGTCTGAACAGGTTCTTCAAAGAAGGCAGGGAATGATTTCTGGAGGACTAACAATTAAAGAGTTAAATGAGTTGCTTGATCGATTAGCATCAAGTGAAAATAGGTATGCCTGTGTCATCTATTTACCAGAATACCCCCATCTGTAATAATCAAAATAATTAGTATTTATCTGTTACCACAGAGCAGAAAAGATTTCCATTCTCTCTGATCTGATCAAGAAAACAAATGCACAAGAAATGAAGTGGATTGTTATGATTATCCTTAAAGGTTTTGTACTTATTTATCATCAATAACTGTTTTTAGAGATGGATATTTAGTTTACTTCTATGTAGTATTATTTAAACCTCTTTATTCCAATTTCCTATAAAGATCTCAAGTTGGGAATCAGTGAGAAAAGCATCTTTCATGAATTTCACCCTGATGCTGAAGACTTGTTCAATGTCACATGTGACCTAAAATTAGTTTGTGAAAGGTTGAGAGATCGAAATCAACGCCACAAACGTCAGGTATATATATATAATTTATATCCTTATTTATCATTTAAGATTTTTTTTTTTATGTCAATTAAGAAAAATAAACAAAAGTAATTTGTATAATAAATAACTGTTGGGAGGGGTTGAAGTAAAGCTTTTACTTGTTACCATTCTTTTCTCAAAGTAAATAGTCATAATAGTTACATTTATTCAAAAAGAAACAAAATTTAAGTTCATTTGGACATTTTTTATTTAATTTATTAAAATGGGATTTATGTTTGCAGGATATAGAGGTTGGAAAAGCTGTACGCCCTCAATTGGCTTTAAGAGTTGCTAATGCAGCTAGTGCATGGAAAAAGGTATACACTTTTTTTTATTTAATAAAAGATCTCATTCTTCTGAAAATTATTTTAGTAATATTTTTTCTTCAAATAATTTACAGCTTCATGGAAAAGAAGTTGTGATTGAGTGCAAATTTGATGGTGATCGCATCCAAATCCATAAAAATGGAAAAGATATACACTTTTTTTCAAGGTAAATACATCTTCAAATCTAAATAATTATCCACCATGTATTTTTCTTTGTTAAAAAAAATAAAAAATAAACAATACAAATTTTCTTGATGTTGCAGGAATTTTCTTGATCATCCTGAATATATCCATGGAATGTCCGACATTATTATCCAGAATGTTCTTGTTGACAGGTAAAAATATAAAAATTATGGTTTTTTTTTCAATTAGATTTTAAACTTGTCTTGTAATTATTCATCTTTTTTCAGGTGTATACTTGATGGAGAAATGTTAGTTTGGGACACATCAACTGATCGTTTTGCTGATTTTGGTTCAAATCAAGAAATAGGTTTTGAAAAATATTTCATCATAATCCCTATATACTTTCCTAATGTTTCATGTTTGACTAATTTTGACTTTTTTATTTTCTGCAGCCAAAGCTGCAAGAGAGGGATTCACTAGTGAACGACAGTTATGCTGTATCCTTTTCATAAGCTAATATGTATATTTATTTATTTATTTAAAAAATATATATATATATGTTAAAACCTTGATTTTGGAAATTTGTAGATGTTGCATTTGATATTTTATATGATGGGGACACAAGTGTTATACATCAAAGTTTAAAAGAACGCCATCAACTTTTGAAAAAAGTTGTGAAGCCAATCAAGGGTAGTTTGGAGATTTTGGTTCCTGATGGTGGTCTTAATGCTCATACAACTGGTGGTAAATAATAAATGTTTATTTTTAAAAAACAAAAAAATATTTAGCATTTTGTAAATTGTAATGAATAAATGGAAATTTCAGGGGAACCATGTTGGTCACGTGTTGCTCATACTGTTGATGATGTTGAGACGTTTTTTAAAAGAACCACTGAGAACAGGTTAATGCTCTTAATTTCATATAATAAACTCTAATAATATTCATTATAATATTAATTTTAAAAATATAGAGATGAAGGAATTGTTTTGAAAGACCTTGGGTCCAAATGGGAGCCTAGTGATCGAAGTGGCAAGTGGATGAAATTAAAACCTGAATATGTTAGAGCTGGATCTGATTTGGATGTTCTAATTATAGGTATTTATTTATTTATTTTTTTTTCATTTTCAAAATGTTTATTTGTTTTAAAAATTTAAATTTGTGATTATATAAATCTAAAGTATCTGTTTTCTAGGTGGATATTATGGGTCAGGTCGCCGTGGTGGACAGGTGAGGACTCATCATAAATTTATCTTATTATCTTGTATTTTATATATATATATATATATATATATATATATATATATATATATATATATATATATATATATATATTACTCTAAAATTGCAGGTAGCTCAATTTTTGATGGGCCTAGCAGAACGCCCAGTGAAAGACACCTACCCTAGGCGGTAAATTTTGTTTCTAGATCATTAATTTAATTAAAAATTTATATATATATATATATATATATATATATATTATTAATAATTGAAATTTTGATTAAAATATTATTTATTTGCAGGTTTGTTTCCTTCTGCAGAGTGGGTACTGGGCTATCTGATAAGGAGCTTGATGAGGTTGTAAATAAACTAAAGCCTTTTTTCAGGTATAATATAAATAATAATATAATATATGATAGAGTTTTAATCTGATAAATAAGAATAGTTATTTTAATTATTAGTTTTCTTAATAAAAAATATTACTTTCAGGAAAAACGAATACCCAAAGAAGGGTCCTCCTAGCTATTATAAGGTCACAAATAACACAAAAGAAAGACCAGATGTCTGGATTGATAGTCCTGAAAAGTTAGTATATCTTTTCCCATAATTATTTAAAAAAAAATTGAATATTTCTCAACATTTTTGTCTTTCCACAGGTCAATCATACTTTCCATCACTAGTGACATCCGTACAATTCGTTCTGAGGTGTAGTGTTGGAATTTTACATTTTTGAAAATGATGAATTTTTTTTTAATTATTATATATATATATATATATATATATATATATATATATATATATATAAATTAAATTTTTTGTTCAGGTTTTTGCTGCTCCATATAGCTTGAGATTTCCTCGTATAGATAAAGTGAGGGATGATAAACCTTGGCATGAATGCCTTGATGTGGAATGTAAGTAGTTTGTTACTTCATATTTTACATACATATAAAAAGTATGATGTTTATACTTATACACTAACTAAAAAAAATATAAAACTGCAATTGCTATTGTTATTTTTGCAGCTTTTGTGGAATTGGTGCATTCTAGCAATCATACAACACAATGGGGAGGAGGAAATCAACCGAAAACATCAAAATCAAGAGTTGGAGAAAAGAAGAAGAAGAGTGGCTCTGTGGTTCCTTCTCATCTCCTTCAAACTGATGTTTCTCAAGTCAAAGGACAAACCTTAATATTCTCAAATATGATGTTCTGTATCCTTCCACTTTCCATCCTTTCCTTTATATTTAATAATAAAACTATACTTAGTATTTCCTAAACTGAAGTTTATAGACTTTGCAAATGTCCCTTCAACACATTCCTTGGATTCACTTCACAAAATGGTTGCAGAAAATGGTGGCACTTTTTCAATGAATTTGAATAATTCGGTTACTCACTGTATCGCTGCAGAAACTAGAGGTGTCCTTTTACTCTATTCTCCTCCCTTTTCTTTGCTCAAAAGATTCACATGTTTTATTTATTTTTTTCTTCAAGGTATTAAGTTTCAAGCTGCAAAACGTCATGGTGATGTTATCCACTACTCATGGCTTCTTGATTGTTGTTCACTGAAGAAACTTGTCCCTTTACAGCCCAAGTAATTACCACTTTACCCTCTCTCTCTCTCTCTCTCTCTCTCTCTCTGTGTGTGTCTATATATATATCTATATATATATATATATATATATATATATATATATATATATATATATATATATATGTATGTATGCCCTCTTGTGTTTTCAGTTTGATTTATTGTTTCGGGGGTATAACAGGTATTTCCTGGTCATTTCTGAGTCTTCAAAGAAGAAGCTACAGGAAGAGATTGATGAATTTTCAGACTCGTATTTCATGGATATTGACATTAAAGATCTGAAACAGGTAATCAGAAACAAAATCATAGCATCCTACTTGCTTTGTTTTTAAATTTTATATTCTACATTTCTTTAATTTATGGTTCTCCAGCTTTTGAATAATATAAAAAGATCCAAAGATTCTAAAGCCATAGATCATTATAAGAAGAAATATTGTCCTCTTGATAAATGGTCACGTTTCAATGGGTGCTGTATGTATTTCTATATACCAGAAAACTCTCTGTAAGCTCCTCTTTTTTTTTTTTTTAAAATTGTTTTTTTTATCAAAAACTTTTCTAACATATTATTTATTTTTACATGAAGGAGTTTGGATTGGGAAGATTTACTTAAACTAACAATGAAAAGAATGAAGCTTCAAGTTTCCTTTTGTGGTGCCAAAATCAGCAATTATATTTCAAATGCTACTCATTTAGTGGTGATGTCTTTACCAGGATTTAAAGTTGAGTTTGATACTATAGCAAGAAGGTAAATCAAATTATTTTATTTAATATATATATATATATATATATATATATATATATATATAATGTGTTTTTATGTTTTTTAATCTTTTGATATTGTTTGTGTAGTTTCTCAGCATCAGAGAGGTGTCTTTTAAGGGATGAAAGTGTGCATATGGTTGATTGTGAATGGCTAGAAGAGTGTTTTGAGAAAGATGAAATGCTTCAAGAGGATGAATATATTATGAAGCCAAGTGGTTTAATGGAATCAACTTCATCTGAGTAAGTTTAAATATTCCTTCTTGTTGAATATTGATAAACTGTTTAACCTGTTGAAACTTTGTAAATTAATTGCAGTGAAAATGAAAGGTTGTTGAGATTGAAGAAAGAAGATAAAGAGGAGAAGAAAAACACAGTTGGTGTAGAAGCATCAGCTTCAGATAAAGAAGACAGAAAAAGACAAGAAAAGGCGGCTGCATCAGTCAACAAAAGAGGAAGACAAACAAAAACAAAAACAAGTAGTACTAGGAAAAAGACAGGTGTCAAGCCTCCAAGAACAAGGGTAAGATCCGGAAACAAGGCGCGCAAAATACACGAATACATATCAGAAGAAGAAGAAGAAGAAGACAAGGTTTCGGCTTCTTTAAATGAACAAGAGACTGAGCAAAAACATGAAACGCAAGATGCCATTGTTGAAGATTCAGAAGCTTTGGTAAAAGATGTTAATGTAAATGATGATGATGTTATGGATAAGAAACGTGATAAATTGGAAGTAATGGTGGGCCCAGACCCTCTTGAAGCCATGTTATTAGACATGATTCCAAGCCTTGAACCAAAAACCATAGAAAGTCCAATCATGGATCCACCGATACCCAAGAGAGAAATCCATCATAATCTGGATTCTAATCCTGGGCCTTCCAAGAAGAAGAAAGTTAGTTACAAGGAGTTGGCAATGGATTTGCTAAAAGACTAGAAACAATAAACCATCCTTGTGTGTTTTCCTGTTGCTATTATATATATATATATATATATATATATATGTGTGTGTGTTATGTGTAGCTTTCTTCTTTAAAGTTTTATCTTGCAACATGACTGAAATCTGTGCTTTTATCTAATCAAATGTTGCTAAATAGTTTCCCTAACTTTTCGTCTTTCCCTAGCCGTTTTTAAGCTATATCTTTTCTCAAAGCAATAACCCAATTTCTTTTAGTATCTTGTAGGTGCATTGGGCCTGGGCCAGCTTGATGAATTTTGTTGGACTTTGAACAAAAATATGTTTGATTTGTTAACTTCGGGATTGGGCCCAAATGGAGGGCATTTGCTCATTAGTCATTATCCACTTGGACATAAAGCTCCACATGACCACATGTGCAGCAGTAAAAGTCCCCCCTTGAAGTTGATATATCTATTTTGAGGGTCCACATAAGACTCCACATGGATGGGACTTAGGTGCACGTGATTCTGTTCATTATTGCAACTTGTACCCTAGCTCATGCTACGTGTTTCCTTCCAAATTGCCATATGAATATATGATTGGTTTTCCATTAATATGTCATCCGATTTCCCATAATGTCAATCGTGGCCGGATCTTCATATTGTTGACGTTGTTTATCGGATATGATCATATCTTAACTACCCTTAATTGCTATATTTATTTCTTTGGATTTTTAGAAGGGATAGGGTCCAAGACAGCTTCTAGGAGCCAAAATAATTTAAACCCTATTTAATTAAGATAACAGAAACTGGAAAGGAAAAATGATAGAATACACAACAAAACATGTTTTTTTAATTTTTTAAAACGAAAAATGAAAATTCAAAAGTTTTAACCAATGTTTTGTTTTTTTGAATTTTTTTTTCAATGTATACTTCAAAAACTTTTCCAAAAAAACTAAAAACAATTTATACAACCAAACACAATCTAAGTTAGTACTAAAAAGATAACTCTTGAAATGAATTTGATACGTGTAAGGAATATATATATATATATATATATATATATATATATATATATATATATATATATATATATATATATATATATGTATATATTCAGTTATTGTTAGTGTGGTGATTGCTTGACAACTATGAATGTATCATGTATAACTATACAAAACTCGTTTTTCAAAAACTTGTTTTGTAAAAGATAAAAACAAACTTGTATTTGTAAAAGACTATACAGATGATCACAATAACTAGTGAATTCAATAATCAAATTTGGTACCTTTATGTTGCATGACAATATGCTGATGTCATAATACAAACTATTCTATTGTTGTTGTGTTAAGTTTTGCTACATATAATTTGTATGTACTTTTCATATTTATGCAACATTTTTTATTGCTTTTGCATGTTTATTATTTTATGTGAATTCCGAAAATTCTTTCTAATAAATGAATATTTTTTTGACACTTGTCATACTCATATTTAATTTTGCCAAATATCATTTTGTGGTTATTTTGATTTTTTTTTCCACATATCATTTTATGAGTTTTTCTATTTTATTAAATTCCACATAATATTTTAATGTAATAATTACAATAAATGGATGTCAATTTCATTAATGAACTTATCTTTTAAATTTAAAATTTCCAAGTTATTAAATATTTTGACATTTATATTTACTTTTTACTTTTTAGTTTTTTTAATTATATAATATATGTGTCACACAATTAATTACTAAATATTAGGAAGTTATTAGATTGTTACACGGTCTTAAATGTTTCCTACCTAACTATTAGGAATTTAGAGTATGATTAAAGCCATTAGATGTCCTTTTTATTTTGATTCTTTTATCATATTTTTGTAAAATTATCCAATACATAAAAGTTCACTTTGACATGACAATTAGACAGACATAAAGCAGTTTTTGAATATCTAAGGGCACCACATGCTTAGGATTTTCTTATGGTATCATACTGACGATTTTGGCCAGCCTATATCACCAGTGGAATATTGTGCTATCCTAAAGTAACGCCTCATGATCCTTTTATTTTTGTTTGATGAGACATGCCCTGTTTGTCGCAAGGTATGCTTGAAGTCCTATGAACTTTCTGACTGATTCATTGGAAGGAAGATCAACAATTAGACGAACTAATGTTTTAGTTTTTGGATGAGTTGAAGGGAAGCATGCATGTGTGGATTTAACAGTGGTTTCCCCTCTTGTGGGTTTGGAGAGTGGAATTTTCATTTTTTATTGTGGAGCAAACTGCTTTACAAACTGCATCATGCAAAGTAGCATAACATGAAAAAACGTGTACAAAAAATCTACATATGTTTATATCTTTTGTATTTGATACTTTTGATTTCTTTGTATCTATTAGATGTTGTGGAGCTCTTCACTAGCGTGCAACAGGTTGTGACCTAAAGATCTATGGATGTTGCTTTTAAATGAATTAATTTTGTCATCCAAAAAAAGATTACGACACAACTTCTTACTCGTTTACACGCTACGTTTATATAAAAATTTCTTTCACTGTTACTTTAGTTGTTTGTGATTGAACTGTTTTTTTTCTCTCTCTGGCGAGTTAATAGTTTTTTTTTGTACTCCCTTTGACATTGTGGGAATTCAAGATTAATATTAGTCCCTTCGTGGGTTTCCACTCAAACTTCCTTGTCTTATTCGTGTGTTTATTTTTCCACCTTCTTGGGTATGAGAAAAACTAAAAAACAGCCATTACAATGTTTCGATATGAAGAAAAAGAAACATACAAAAAAGCCGTAGGTAAGAAACAAAGTAAGCACTCAATTGTAAGGAAAAAAAAAAACAGAATAAGTATGATAGCTACCATCAAAACCTAACATAAATCATTCTTGTATGTATAGAAAAATAAATATAGTATATTATGATATGTTACATCTGTCATAAATTTACAACACACCCTGTGGTAATTGTAGTAGATTTATGATTTCACATACTCATCGGACTTTGAGAACCATTTAAAGCATATATTGCTGTCTCTATCTGTATTTTCAGAAAATCTGTCTCTTCCTCATCGGCCTGTTACACAAGGTATATATGTAAAAATTATATACTTATTATATATATGACCAAAATTAAGGTGTATAAAGTCAAAATACATGATCTAAGGTGGAATAAAGTCAAGAGGCTCCGTCAGATTTGAATATTTGTCAAAAAAACAATGTGTTTTTCATTTATATTATTGGTTAAAAATATTTAAAAAACAAATATAGGTCATAGTCACTTTGAACGTTTACTAATTATTATAATTTATATTATACTAAACAATAATGGATAATAAAACAATAAACTGGAATAATCGCTTTCCCGGATTTAATTATATATATATACACATTAATATATAATTATATAAGAGAAGAGCAATAACATATATACTTTCAAATTATTTAATAGAGATTTTCATAGTTAATAAATCCGTTTGGAGGTAAATCTAAGATACTCGTCATTTTTTTTTTTAAATACATTTGTACATGACTATAAAAGAATCCATATTTATAACACTGTAAACAAATTTGTAAAAGATTATGTATACGTAAGCACAATAACTACCGAATTCAATAATCAAATATGGTTACATCTATTACGATTATTATTATTTCAAGTAATCATGTTGATATATTATATTTCTATTTTCTTCCAATTTACTGTATATACTTATCTTTATTGTTTAAAAAATGAAGCATGATTCTCTGAAGAAGAAAGACGTATTTAATTTAAGATCTGACAAAATAGATAACATGTTGTTGTATTTAATGGATGTTACTTTATAAGAAAATATCATTCATATGATACTAAGAATAAAAATCTAATAAACAAATATTTTCATAAAATTATATAATTAAAAAAAATATATCAAATTTGATAACGTATCTAGTTATTTATTTCTTAAGACAACTCTCCTCCCAGATTTTTCGGAGCTTCGATATTTTTAACTCTTTGATTCTTCTTATTATTATTGTAATATTAAGATAATCACTTTCCCTTTTTTTTTTTTTTAATCATTTATAGCCTGCGATTTCACTAATTTTTATTAACCTCGTACAAAGTATGTGGGGATTTTTTTATTTACTTTTTTTTTTTTGGTTTTTGTTAATATTGATTAAATTAATTATAAAAATATGGGTTATAGCGACTTTAGACAACACCCTGACCAGTCAACATGAAGAGAACCAACAAAAAGCCAAGAAAGGAAAACAAACAAAACGACAACTTCGAATCTATCAATATATTTGTTTCCACTTTTTTTAATATCAACTTAAATTCATAGCCAACAATAATATATATATATATATATATATATATATATATATATATATATATATATATATATATATATATATATATATATATATATATATATATATATATATATATATATATATATCTCCATTTTATTTCATTATTTTGACGTTTTTGAGCTACACATGCTAATACATACTAATCTTTATAATGATTTTTTGAAGTGTTTTAAATGCACCAGATATCTGATTATAAAAACTTTTTTTTTTTTTTTTTTTTTTTTTTTTTTCCTAAATGTTAAAGTAATAGTATGTATTTAAAAAAAATATATTTATAAAGATATAATATTCTCTACCAATCAAACTTATACGACTAACGAGTGTATTCATCATCTTTAAAACACCACCTAATTTCAATTGTTTTCATCCATTCATTATTTCATATTTGAACAACAATGATTAAGATGGCTAACAATAATGAACACTTTACTTATTCAATGGTGATCTTAACAATCTTATCATAATATTATAATATATATATTTTTTTCATTTTGTGTTTATCAGATAATTATTTTATTATTATTTATGTCTAAAAAGATTATAACAATTAAAGTTTTTCTTATCATGTTATTAAATACGATAAATAATGATGTTAATACTTTTGGTATTAAAAATTGATTACATGAAATCGAGAGTCTAGATTTACTTTTATATTTATAATTTATATTTTAATTTTTTTTTATTATCAAAATTTAATTTTAAATCAAAGATTTTAACATTTATAATTTTAAAAACATTGGTACTAGAGTTACTTTGGCAATCGGATAATAACATGAGTTTTCTATTGATAAACCAACTTAAAGTATAATATATATTTTTAAATAAATTAAGTTATTCAACGTTATAAATCCACTTATTTGTGTTAATAACAAATTAACTTATTAAAAATGTCATAGATATCCAAACATTGATTTTCAATCTTTTAAAAATGATTATTTAACTAGCGTATGTTTTTTTTTTTTTTGACAACTTTATAACTTTCCAAATTAAATTGTTGAAAAAAATGTATTTAAAAAGTTGATATAAAATAGAATTATATTGTTTTTATCGCAATTAACTCTTTCCTGACATAAACTAAATGTTATATAAAATGGTGTTAAAATAAATGTTATCTTATTTAAAGATAAAATATGGATTTTTTATTATATTGATAAGTTCCTATATTATATTATTAATTTAAAAAAGATGTTAATAAATAAAATTAATAGTATTTTATTAGCTTTCCTTTACTAATGTTTTATTAAAAGATCTATGATAAATAATCCAAATAATATAATTTATTATCATATTATATAGTATATTATCATTGATTGATTTAGATTCATAGGTTGTTTTTAGTGAATAAAAGGAAATGAACCCTTTTACGTGGGTCCATTTAACACCATTCCTACAACTTTAAAAAATGAAATGCTACACGCTTTAAGATAACCAATAAATCGAAAGATACTATACTTTACCAAATTATTGTAGAGATTTCTTCGTCACTTTTTTTTTTGAGGTAAAAGAAAAAAAAATACCATGTTATCTAAAATATTAGTTATGTTGTTTTTCCGATTATATAGAAAAATAATATACTTTTGCAGACTAAACGATTTTTTTTAATATATTCGGTACACAATGGACTTAAATTTTGGGTTAAACAAATATGAAGCCTCTCATTTCCAACTCAAAGATGAAATTTTGGCATCCCTTCCACTACTTGTTACATAAAATATAACTTTATTACAATTATTGTTTAAAGCAATCAAATCCATATTGATATATTTTAATAATTTTCTATTTTATTCCAATTAATATACTTATCTTTATAGTTTAAAAAATAAAGCACGTTTCTCACATTAAGTTCTCTGACGAAGAAAGACGTATTAAATTTGAGATTGATAAAATAGCTAACATAGCATGTATTATTTAATGCGTGCTACCTTAAATTATTCAAATAATATTTAAGAAAATGTCGAATATATAATGAGAATAAATAAGACTTTAAAAAAGTAAATCTATAATTAATACCTTTAGTACGGGCAAGGATGTCTAATTCTTTTTGGATATATATATATATATATATATATATATATATATATATATATATATATATATATATATATATATATATATATATATATATATATATATATATATATATATATATATATATATAGTGTTAGGTTCATTTGAGACCACCTATATTTTGTGAGACCGTAAGACGCATTTTTTTATTATTTTTTTATTTTTTTTACTTAATTCATGTTCCGAAAATAATATTTAAAAAAAGAATTTTTTGATTTTTCCATTTATTTTGCATTTTAAAATTATTTTTAGAATATGTACAGTGTAATATTCTATTTAGAATATTTCACGTATTTAAAAAAAATAGATTTTTTTTATTCTTTTTTAATTTTTTTAGTTAATTCAAGTTCCGAAAATAATATTTAAAAAAAGAATTTTTAGATTTTTCCATTTATTTTACATTTTAAAATTATTTTTTAGAATATGTCAGTGTAATATTCTATTTAGAATATTTCTCGTATTTTTCAAAAAAAAAAAAAACGTAATTTTTTTTATTTTTTTAATATTTTTTTATATTTTTTTAGTTAATTCAAGTTCCGAAAATAATATTTAAAAAAAGAATTTTTGGATTTTTCCATTTATTTTGCATTTTAACATTATTTTTAGATTTGGTCTCACAAAATTAGAATGGTCTCAAATGAACCTGAACGTATATATATATATATATATATATATATATATATATATATATATATATATATACACTTTATTTAATAACCATTATTATTAATCAAGGAATAAAAAACTAATATAAAACGTTGAAATTTAAAATGATCAATGTCAAAATGAAAAGTTGTAGACTTTTACAATGGACATACATACATGTGCCGAATTATAACAAAATTCACTTTATTTTTTTCATTTAATTTTTTTAAGTCATGTTTTATATCGAAAAAAACATAATATATCATTGTCCATATTGAATTTAATAATCATTCGCCCCAAACTTAAAACGAATTTTCAGTTCAAATTTATATTTTATGAATCTGCTTAGATTCACAGTGTAAATAATAGTAAGTCAGATTCACATTTTGAATTCTAAAAATTAACTTATATATAGTTCAGATTTATAATGTGAATAAATCAATTTGTTGATTTTACAAACTAATTTACTAGTAATCTAAAAGTTAAAATATATAAAATTATATGAAAATATATTTCGATTCATATGTAAATATCATTAAATTAATTTGTGAATGATCAAAGAATTGAAATACTAAGTTAGATTCACATTGTGAATGTTAAAATTGAAATATTTACAGTAAATCTGAATTGATCGAAGTTTTTTTTAATCGATGTTAATGTAATTAATAGATGACAAGAAATTAAAATTTTTGGATAAAAGAAAACTTAAATATTGAAAAAAGATAAAAAAACAAAATTAGTTTTTTTTTTTAAAAAAAAAAAAGAAGTTTGTTTTTTATACATAAACATAGAGTTATATACAATTTGATCAAGGAGTTATATATATATATATATATATATATATATATATATATATATATATATATATAAAAGAAAACAATAAATATTTGCATGATATTTAACAAAAAAAAAAAAGATAGGTACCTGGATAAAGAGAGTGTTGAAAAGCATTTCAGAGAAAACCGACATATTAGCAGTGACAATCTTGAGCTTCAATGATTCAAACACTTGACAAAGCTTCACAATTGTGTCTCTTCTTTTGCTACATTTTAAGTTCACCAACACCGTCTTCTCTCCCACAGCTGACACGCTTAACTGTCAAATCCACCATAGTTAGTTTCTTTTCAATCATTCAAAAAAATATCAAAACAATTCGAAATGTATCAAATCATTACTTACTTCTAGGACTTCAATGGGATATGATCTTGATCCACTTGAATCCAAGGCTTGCACAACTCTTTTCCTATTTGATCTTTCCGTTGGCATAAACCCTGCTTCTTGAACGAAATCCAAATTTTCGGAATCTAATTTTTGAGCCTCGAGTTGGATCAATTCGGTTTGGATTGTTCTTTCTTGATCGTGTAATATTTGAATATATTCAATCGCATCTTTAATTATTGACGCCTTATCCATCTATGAGATGGAAATAATTATGATCATATTGAATGAAGATTGTTGTAGAATCGAAAAAGTAGACGTAGAAACTACTGGAAAAAAAATGCATTATATGGAAATCGAAAAATATAATTACGTGGTTTTAAGTTTGGGGCGAATGATTATTAAATTCAAAGAGACAACGTGTAAGTGGAGGCAGCATATATACTATAGATTTAAAATAATTTAATCAAGTGTGGAGGATCACACCTTACTAATCTTAGGGACCACGGCTCTGAGAGCGAAAAGCCTATCATTGAGCTTCTTCCTCCGATTCCTCTCGGAGACGATGTTTTTGGAGGCGGTCGCCGACTGAGATCCGTCCGGCGAGCTGGAGTCGTAGTAACTGGAAAGCGTTTCTTCCAATCCGCCCCAGCTATACATATATAGAATTTGGTTAACAGATGAAGAGATTGAATCATAATCAGAGATCGAAAACGCAGAAGAAGACTGAAATTACCTATTATAATCTTCGGTTTGGAGTAAAGATTCCCAATAGCTTCTGTTGTCGCCATTGTTTTCCATGGAAGAATTTGAATAGTGAAAGAGTGAGAGATTGTTGTGGTCTGATTTTTGGGAACCACGACTCCAGGAGGCTATATGCTATGCTAGTATGTTATTTGTGTGAGGCAATAGACACTAGACAGGCTATTTATACGGAAATTTTGGAAAAGTTTGTGAAATTATTAAGTTTAAAAAAGTTTATACTAAATTACATGAATGGTCCCTGTGCTATAGAGAAAAAATCAACTTTGGTACATTTTTTACATTACAATGTTATAACAATATTGGTCTTTATGGATGACTCTGTTAGAAATATACTTTGTTAGAGATATGTTCAAAATAATAAAAAGAACAAATTACTGAAATCGTCCTCGTGGTTTAGTTAAAATTACACATTTGGTTTCTAACTTTTAGTTTGTATTTGGACCGACCTTGCTGTTTGATTTTGTTTTGTTGTTGGTCCCTAATAAACATAAAAAGACTATAATGCCCTTTATATATATATATATATATATATATATATATATATATATATATATATATTTCTTTTTTATTAATTATTAAATAAAATAATGTATTAATATAATAAGCCCCACCATCACCAAAATCTAACATTCACAAATGACTGACATCACCTACTACAGCCAATAACCACCACCTGTGTGATCGCCAACTAGGGATGAGCAAATGGACCGGGGAACCGGTACCGGAACCGGAACCGAAACCGGAACCCGATGGAACCGGTTGGGCCGGGACCGGGACGTTATTTTTGTAGATTTTTGGAACCGGGAACCGGTAGGAACCGGAACCGATATAACCGGAACCGTATGATGTTATTTTTCAAGGACCGGTTCCAACATTTGAAGACACGACAAGAACCGGTAGGAACCGGGAACCGGTAGAACCGGACCGATAGAACCGCCGGGCCGGTTCGGTTCTTGATTTTGGCCGAAGTCGGTTCCCGGTTCCGGTCCGGTTCGGGCCGGTTCGGGCCTTTTGCTCATCCCTATCGCCAACCATTACCTTCCCACCCCTCACAACCACCATTTCCCTTTCTCAATAATATTTTTAAACATATAGACCTACTCTCATCACTAAAAACATGCAACCACCAATCACCTATTCTTTCACCACCACACTCTTATTCAGGTCGCCTATATCATGGATTTCATCAGGTGGCATCTTATTTACCTCCAACAAACAACATGTTGTTGAATTAGGTGTCTAAGCCCATAACTATAATTGATATAAAACTTGAATTGATAGTAGCACAATCATTTTGGGTTGCCCTCAAACATAGCAATTGGATATGATAATTTTTGGAGAGATATGTTGATTTATTATTTGAATAATAAATTGAAGTAAATAATTTGTTAATATATTATAAGAATGATATATTAACTATAATAGTATTATTTAATTAATAATTAATCAGAAATTAATTGGAATTACTTTTGGGATTAAAAAATTAATTAAAAGTGTAGGGTCTAAAGTGTAATTATTCAGTAGTTTAACAAAACACTCTAGAACCTTCCACGTATAGGGTGGACGGTTTTAGAAGCGATATTCTAAGGTTACTGGAATATCCCATGTGGATAAATATGAAGCTGGATAGTTACCAATTTGAAATATTATTATTAGATTCAGATTAGGGTTATCCAGGGCTTCATTGTACCACTATATAAATGACCCTATCCCTTTATATTTCAGTCACTCATACTCTTAGAGAGATAGCCAAAATTTTGCCCTCTCCTCTCCACTTTCCATAATCTTTCTCTTACTAGCTTAGGTGTGATCCTATTAGAAGTGCAATACTTGTGGTGCTTGTTTCCAAGAGATCTTTCAAAGGGGATCTCTGGTTGTTTGCTATAACAACTAAAATATATGTAACCCTAAACCTTTTTTTTTTTTGTAATTTCGAAAACTACATAGGGTTTCTAGGGTTCTTATTTTGATGTTCATGGTTATAAGTTCGATAGAGAAAACATAGATCTTGTTTTAGGTTGCATGTACACGTAAGAGTTTTAAGTTTGTTTTGTTATGCCTAAAACTCATCAGTGGTATCAGAGTATTTGGCTTGTTTTCAATTGAATTTTCCATAATTGTTGAATTTGATCAAATGAGGGTTTATGAAAATTAAACTTTAAAAGGCTTAAAATTTCGAAATTAGGGTTAGGGTTTTGAAACCCTAACTTTCCTCCCCAAGTTTCAAAATTAGGGTTAGGGTTTTGAAACCTTAACCTTCCTCCCCAAGCAATTTCGAAAATTGATAGGTTATTAGGGTTTTACAAATTATGATAATTATCATTTTACTTGCCTAAAAAGGGATAATTAAAATTAGAATAAATCCTAAACCTTATATTTTTAGAAATTTAAAGGGTAAGGATTAGGATTAAATTATGTGATTAATTTAATTAGTTAATCCTTATTTGATTTAATATATTTACTTAATTGTTAATTAATAAATAAATATTAAATCATTTGGTTTATTTTAAAATTTAAATTAGATATTAATTTTTGAATTTTAATTATAAACCTAGTATTTTGAAAAGTTTTAAAATACACCTTATACTATATGCAAAATAAAAAATTTAATAATTAATATATGTATAAGACTAAGTCAGTCGAAATTCTAGTGCATCTCATTTACGAAGCTAGTCTATATGGAGGGTATAAGGAAATTGTCTATAAAATGGTAGTTGAATGAGTGCCTACTCTCACCCACTGCTTCCTTGATTAGTGGAGGGTCGTTGGTCAATTGGGTTTGATAGGGTAATTAATTCTCACTAAAAGTATAATGATATTAAAAAGTACTATAACCTTTTTATTAAAATCTCAAATCTAGTTACTTAAGGAAATATGTGAATTTGTATTCTAACCCATGAAATTACACATTGCAATTTATAAGTCGTTAGTGGAGCTTGTGGTTAACCAGCACACTAATAGGGACTAATAAAGAGTTGTAATGGGTATCTTATAAATTATCATTATTGGTGGAGCGTGTGTGGTTTACTAGCATGTCAATTGAGATGATAAAGGACAATGAGGTTACCAAGCACATTTGTATGGTTATTCACATCTTGTTTATGATCCTTGGTATCCCAGTCACAAATAGAAGATCATAATTTGAGATTAAACATGCCATTAAATAGTTTCAATGAAACTCAAAGATCTAGGAATTTCATCAAAACTCAATTTCCTTTTAAAATTTTGTTTTCTATTGGTGGAATTGGTAAATCGTCATTTACATACCTTTATAAAATTTACAATTAGATTACGACATCCCTTTCTAAGTTGTGAATTATATAGTTGGATCCTAGCCTTAATATTTCATTTTTGGGTTACTATATTAAAGATTATTCTTATCTAACTAAAACTACCTTCCTTTTACAGATGTCTACTCCAAATGATGCTTCTGGTTCCTCCACCTCCAATCAAAACTTCTCATTATTGAACATCTGCGCAAAGGTGACATTGGATGGCACCAATTACAACGAATGAATGCACAAAATCAAAATGGACCTTGATTTTGAGGACAAGGAATATGTCATTGAGAAAGAACTAACTGATATTAACGAAGAGAAGGCCATTCCTGAAGAATTAGTCACCTACAAGAGGCACTACAATGATGCAACAAAAGTTATTTGCATCATGGTCTCCACGATGACCCCTGAGTTGCAGTGATTCTATGAGGATTACTAGCCGCATGAGATGAAAAATGACCTTATGGAGAAGTACCATAAGAGATCTCATCAAGAAAAATATGAGGTGGTAAAGTCCCTCATAGCATGCAAAATGAACAAGGGAGTGTAGCCACATGCAACGAATGCAATGTTGCATGGAGCGCCTTGTTAGGATTAATGTGCACTCTAATGAGGAGTTGGCTATTGACATAGTCTTGAACTCCTTACCATGTTGTTATGATCAGTTCATCTTGACGTATCATTTGAACAATAGTGAGACCACCTTGGCTCAATTGCACAACCTTCTGCAGACAGCTGAAGCAGGTGTGAAGGGAAAGAGTATTGCCTCCACTCCTGCTAGTACTCCCTTTTTTGGCCATTGATAAAGGAAAGGGTAAAAGGAGGAAAGGTCCTTCCAAGCAAAACTGGAAGAGAAAGTCTCCTGCAAGGACATCCAGTAGTGGCCCTAAAGGAAAGTCCAGTTCTGATCAACCACCCTTTTCTGATCCGTAAGAGGCTATTTGTTTTTACTGCAACAACAAGGGGCATTGGAAACGAAGATGCCCGAAGTATCTGTAAGATGTCAAAGATAACAAGATGAAGCCAACTTCTACAAGTACACTATTTCATCTAATAACTCATCATCTTATCGTTCTTGGGTCCTTGATATAGGATGTGGATGTCACATTTGTTCTGATTTGCAGGGGCTAAGAAGAAGTGAGGAGGTGAAACACGGTAGAATGAACTTGATCATGGGGAATATGTGATATACCTGTTACCAAGATTGGAGTTTATATTCTAGTGCTTAGTAATGATGTTAGTTTAGATTTAATAAAATTTTGCTACTCATTAGAAATGACAAGAAACATTATCTTTTTTCATGCATTGTTTAGACAAGGATTTAGATATTCATTTAAAATGGTATATTTTTTTTGTTTGAAGCTTTACCTTGTGATGGTGTGTATGAAACCGTGACATGTGTAGACAATTTAGGTCATAACATATTTCAAATTGATTCGTCTAATGGCCATTGTCGTCTTGGACACATCAACTAGAAACGCATCGCCCAACTCCAAAACGATGGAGTGTTGGAATCATTTGACCTAAGGTCGGATGATGCATGCGAATCTTGTCTTATGGGTAAAATGACTGTAACACCTGGTTCCTGGTATGTATTTTAATCTAAGTATTTTTGCATTTTTAGTTGGGACTCGGTGAGTTGGTGGTCTGACTCGCCGAGTAGAGTCGATATATTGAGCACGTTTAAGTTGGCAACTCCGCAAGTCCATACCATGGAATCGACGAGTCCACCAGTTTGGAAGAAACCCTAGATCCACGGGTTTGGATCCTATTTAAACCATGTTATGAGCCCTAAACTCGCCTCCTTCACTCTCAGAGCACCCTTTAACAAACCCTAACCCTCCCCTTTGAGAT